GGCTATATCACGTAGTTCCAGGACCACGTCATGGTATTTGGATAGCCTGGCTCCTAGGCTAGACATCAGTCTCCGAACTTTGGTTGCTCCTGAATCAACCCGATGTTCTCAGGCCAGACCAATGTCAATATCAAAGCCGCAGTTTTCGGTTGCGTCCACTCCCAGCGAACGCTGACCACGGTTTCGACTGTTTCTTGTTTCGTTGATGGTCAGGACTGCTAGAGGTTTGCGCTACCCTCGACACGCTTGCTCGGCTGAGGTCCGTGGTCGCCCGGTGATGCCAGTAGTGCGTGCTGCGAGGAAGTGCGGGACCTCGTTCGTCCCCAAAGCCGGCCAGCGATCCGAACTCCCAGCAGTCTGCGGGGCTTGCGTGGCACCAGGGCGACCCGTGCTCCCAGCAGTCTGCGCGGCTTGCGTGGCACCAGGGTGACCCGTGCTCCCAGCAGTCTGCGGGGCTTGCATGGCACCAGGGCGATCCGTGCTCCCAGCAGTCTGCGGGGCTTGCGTGGCACCAGGGCGATCCGTGCTCCCAGCAGTCTGCGGGGCTTGCATGGCACCAGGGTGACCCGTGCTCCCAGCAGTCTGCGGGGCTTGCGTGGCACCAGGGCGATCCGTGCTCCCAGTAGTCTGCGCGGCTTGCGTGGCACCCGGTCGCGGCGAATCCTGCCAAGATATCCTGAATACAGGACCAAGTTAAATCTAGGCACGTTCTTTCCGCACCGTTTTTCTCGTGCGCCGCTGCTGTGTGGGCCTGCCCGCCCTCCCGCGCCAGCAGAGGCAGGTAATCCCGGGCTGATCTACAAGCAGCTGCGCCCTTTGTAGACGCGGCCGGGCGGCGGCGCGGGCCGGGCGCCGCCTGCCGGGGCGGAGGCCGCCTCACGCGTGATCCGCGCCAATCGGCCGCCCAATTTATAGGGCTGGGGAGCGGCGGGCGCGACCGGCGCCGGCGCTATATCACACGAGCCTCCGCCCCTGCCCCGCCGGGCGCAGCGCGTAGGCGACCCCCTCCCCTCCCCCGGAAGCTCGTATTTTACCGAAATCGACCAAACTTCACTCCTTTGGACATAATTATGCAGAGACAGGACCGCGCACCTCCATCGGGCCCTCGGCACTGCACTAGTGATCAGAGATGGTCAGAACTTCGCCCGCCACGCAGGTGGCCGAGCTAATCAGGAATGAATGAGTGGTGTCGAATGTGGAGTGTTTTTCATTCATCTATGATTAATGGCATGATTAACCAACACCTTGTGGCTCAGGTGGCTGTCGGGGCTTCCCGCGCACTACAGAGTTTCAATTGATCAGGCACCACGTGCCACCGGCGCTGAAAGGCAATGTTCCACATTTGTATGGGGTTTTGGACCGAAATAGCCATCTGGAAGACCTTATGGTGCTTTCAGTGCATCCATGCCCTTCTTAAGACTTAAGCCCCTCTGGTTTCTGAGTCACACCCCTGGAAAAATTGGAAGCGTATTTCAGGGGAGATTTTTTCAAAGTCATCCTAGCATCCATGAGGTCATAATAGGGTCATTCTAATCCTGTCATTCCATAAGCCATGCGCCTATTATCAAGGTTAATGAAAATATAAATGTCGAGGTGCTCCTATCTTTGTGAGCACGATTTCCAGATATCACAGTTGTCAACTAGCTCTCAGTCAATGTTGTGCAAGGTATGATGACGTGATCAAACCATGACGCATTGAGGAGCATATTTACCAAACCGAAGATTGTACCGTCTGGAGCAGTCGTTTCCAAAAGTGCACCAATATTTACAAGTTAGCTTCTTTCGTCACATCTGATGCTTGTTTTAATATATTTACGCCTGAAGCTCCTTTCAAGCAATCGGATCTTCTGCAGCACAGCCCTGGCACAGGCAGAGTGAAATGACTCGACTTTGACCCGCTCAGACGGTGATGCCAGATGTCCGGACGGTGTCCGGATTACAAATTGTCAGCCGCTTGCAGGACGTTTGGTCCGAGCTGGCCCGCGGCCATGACCTGCCGCTGCAGAGTAAGGTCACGGCGACGCGAAGCTCTCGCCGTGACGCCGGTGACCCAGCCAGCGGGTCAACAGCTGACGCTGGTGACCAAGCCCCTGGGTCAGCAGCTGACAGCGCGGTCAGACGGCAGCGATGGTCGCGAGTGTTGGTGCCGGTAGGGAGAGGGCTTCTCATTCTGCGAGTGCCGGGATCGGTAGGGAGAGAGCCTCTCATTCTGCGAGTGCCGGGGCCAGTAAGGAGAGGGCCTCTCATACTGCGAGTGTCGGGGTCGGTAGGGAGAGGGCCTCCCATACTGGGAGTGTCGGTGCTGGTGCGGAGAGGACCCCTCATGCTGCGAGTGTCGGTGCCGGTGGGGAAAGGGCCTCTGATACTGCGAGTGTCTGCGCCAGTGGGGAGAAGACCTCTCATCTTGAGGGTGCCGGAGCCGGTAAAATGATGGAATCTTGCCACTCTCTCCGAAAGTGCGACGCCACTAGAGTGAGGGAGCTCCAGATACTCTTCTGTGAGTGCCGACGCCGCAGAAGTGAGGCCTTCTGTGAGTGTCGGCGCCCCAGGAGTGAGGTCTTCTGTGAGTGTCTGCGCCCCAGGGGTGAGGTCGTTGTACCACTCACCAGGGGAGTCGCCTGCAAAAGGATCTGTGGCCACGTTCATTTGGCGCGAAATGGCGACGGTTTTCTTCAAGGGATGCGAAAGCCTTAAGAAAGTGGTCGGCAGTGACTGGAATGAACGGAGTGGGCCCGTTCTCCATGAGCAGGTCTGTCTGGCTTTTTACTCTGAACGCTCCCGGACCTAGAGTTGAACAAGAGAGTAAACACATCGCGAGGAGTGGCAAGGCCCAAACCATTTTCCAAGTTGATTATTTTTGTGAGAACAGGGGCGAAGTCACCGGCCTTTTCCAGGGAGCAAGGAGATATGGGGGCTTCTTAAGCCGATTTGAAGACCTCCTATGCCAGTACTTAAAATTTCCCCTTGGACATCCCCCACTTTTTTTTGGGCTGGTGTTCTGTGTTTTTCGTCGGGCCACCCCTCCTTTGGATCATTTCGAGCCTTTTGTCAATGAACGAGGCATGATGTTCATAGTCAAGGGCCTCCCTCGGATATACTTGTCCCCTGCGTTCATTATGAGCGGCAAAAAGATATGTTTGCCCCTTTGAAAAATAGCAAGGAACGCGCCTGTTTGTTGTCCCACCTCTGCTGGCGATGCGGTCCCTGCCTGCGTCGCCATATGACTGATGTTAAGAGCTTCACCAAAGGTGACAGGGCCATAACACTCACTCTGCACTCTGTGAGGGGCACCTCACCCGACCCTTCCCCGCACCGGCTCCCAGGCCTTCTATGTTGAAGTTATGCTCGATGTACGACATGGCAATGTATTTTTCGGCATCCCAGGAAATCAGCTGAATTCCGCACCCTGCTGTAGAACATGGAGCATTTCCTAAGAGGCTTGAAATGCCAAACAGCTGAAAAACTCCATCGTGTCACCACCGAATATTGCCCGTTATTTGTCATCAGAATTTGTTTTACATTTCCGACACCTTGACACTTACTCCTAAGAACATAGTCTGTGGTGCCAACAAATGATCGTAGAATAGCACCTACATGTGAAGTAATCCCTGGTCCGATTTGAAATGCACACATGAGTTCGCGAGTTTTTCCAACGAAGCAGGGTTTTCAAAGATGGCAGTGCGACAAGGCGTGCGACACGTTGCAGTTTTGTTGCAGATGGAATACAGGAAGGCGGGATATGAAATCTAGCACGTTATGGCGCGAGCAATGAGCCCGAAAACTGAGCGCAAAAGGTGCTCCGCCAAAGAAAATGCAAGACACTCAGTGGCCATAGGATAATAAGGAGCATAGCCCGAAAGCATTGTGAATTTATCCGTGGCAGGCTGGAATGGATGATGCGTTGTTTGCTGGTAAAGGTCGGTGAGCAGCAACTTTGATCGATAAGACAGTAGATTCTCAGTTTAATTTCCTCGACAATTAATCACACGAGAACAGGAGGCATTTGTATCATTCCTAGGTTGTTACACCACGCCATTCATCCCACCCGGCCAAGGACTGCAAAGGTTTCTCGGCGTCGGGAACGATCTTTGTCTCCCCGACCTTTGTCTGCCTCTGCGTGTTTTGAGCAAGAAATCCATAAACCTGGCGAAGTACCCGGCAGCTTGTTGTCCCAGCGTTCCCGCGTGAGCATCAGCGGTTGTGTTCGCATTTCGGTGCGCTCAAAGGTCACTCCTAATGTCACCGAACCGCGCTGGTGTCGCCACGTGGCGTCCCACAAATTTATTCCGCCCGGCTGGAGTGGAGTGGCTGCGCGGGAGCACGTGCCAACGATCGCGGACGGGTCATCGCACCACAGCAATGGCAGCACAATGTCAGGGGTCACCGCACTCACTGGGCCCGCCAGGTCCCTGACGGGGTCCACGGTCTCAGCCAGGCTGGCTGGCTGCCTCGGGACGCACCAACCCAGAGGGTATCACCAGTCTCTGAGGGGCCAAGCTATTCCGCGCAAAATGTCCAGCTTGGCAGTTGGAAAGGATCGTGGGGAAACACCAGCGACGCTGATGTTTTTCACCTGCCGGCTGTAAAATTACGGCAGACAGAGTTCTGCTGTTGACGTCGTCACGACTGCTGCCTGAATAGCGGACGCTGTCGGACTATGAGCGCAGCTTCGTCGTCGAGGCTAGCAGTGCTAAGCCTCATTGTAACTCGATGAATGGAAGCTGATGACGTCTGACTACCCGTGCTGACGTCACCACCCGGTACTTATTCATTCACTGCTTATTTGCGCTCTGGACTGACGAGCCGCCGCAGGCGACAACAGGGGCCAGACGATAAACGGCGCCACGAACTTCTGGGCACAGTGCGTCCGTTGTCGCGTCGCCCCACGCGGTTCGTTCGCAAGCCAGCGGGAGCTGCGAGCGTAGCGGTGTCGTGTCGCGCCGCCGTCCAGCGTACCGAGCGTGACATGTTGCTGATCGGCGGACGTTCTGTTGCAGCAGACATCGAGCTGGAACGGCTGAGGGTGTGTCCAGTCTGCTCGGCCGGCTCCAATGGGCACGTGGGCTCGCCGCGCCACCTCGGCCGCCGGCCGCTGCCGCACCGCGCCGGCGTCAACGGGCCCGTCCAGGACGTGCCAGACGTGCAGCTGTAGGGTCTGCTGGACGTGCAGCTGTAGGGCACGCTGGACGTTCAGCGGCGGCACCTGGACGCGTCCAATGCTAGACTGTGGTTAGGCCTATATGCGCCTGAAGAACCTGGACGCGCTGCCGTGGAATCTAAACGTGCAGTCGTAGGACATGCACGTCCTGGACGCGCAGCTGAAGTCCTGTGCGTGCATCCACGGGACCGGGACATGCAGCTGCCTGGTCTTATTCGGCTGGACACGGCAAGACACTGTGCATGCCTGAGGCATATCCTACGACAGTGGTTCAGGACCGCTTGACGGTGGGAGCGTCTGTGCCAGTTTATGATGCCGAACTGTAAGGGGCAGTCCGGCACACGCAGTCCGTATGTAGTGGTGGACCTGCCAGGCCGCAGCGAGTCGGTGGCCCTGCAAGCGGCGGGTGGCCGGCTGCCCGATGTGCTCAGCTGCCGCCGTGTGACAGCTGAACCGTGTGACAGCTGTGCAGTGGCGGACCACGCACCCGCGGGTGCCCGTGTGACGACGGACGGGGCACCTGTGCGGAGACATTCCAGAGGACGCGCTGTGCTGTGTGGGAATGTGAACCCTCGTGTACGTCACGCGCAGCCGACCGCGGTGGAACTGCGTCAGGCCAACAACGACGCGTCCCATGGTTACTTGGTTACAGGCCCGCATCTTCGCGCAGGCATCGAAGTGCTGAGGCAGGGGGCCAAGTTCGGGCGGCGGCCGTGACGTCACGCCGCTCCGGCCGTGACGGCGGCTCGACGGCCGAGGTCTGCTGTTCGTTACGGACGTGCGCTGCCCCTCGGTGCGGCGCCCTGGGTCAGGCGCGGCGCGCGCGGTGCGGTTACCGGGCGCCGGCGTCTCCGGTCTGGGCAGCGTCGCGTGGCAGGTCGTCCTCGTCGTCCAGGTCGACCGGTCGTCCTCGAGACGGACAAACAGCACAGTTAAGGTCACTGTAACGCACCGGCGCCGTGGAGGCAGGGGTCGGGTGACGTGACGTGGTGCCACGCAGGCGGCGTGGGTCAGGCGGCGGGCGGGTCGGTGGGTAGTCGTTCGTCGCCGGTCGGTGTCGTTCGTCCGCGTAGTGTTGGAGCGCGCGCGAATTACTTCCATCCACGGAGGACTGTTGGTGATGTCGCAGAAGTTGTGGCGTAAAACCGAGTTTGACAAAGTTTTAATAAGTATCGTTAACAAAGGGAATGCTGGATCTAGTCGTGATAAGTAAAATAAACCTCAGTGAGATATGCGGGTCTGGTTCTCGAAGCTGGTCGTACCTTGACTCAGTCACCGAGGCTCGACCTTCTTCCCTCACACAGTGTTGTCTCGATGTTGACAGTGAATGCCGGTTCTAAGTCGCAAAGAGCCTGTCGTACCGCTGTCTTTGCCATGCGTTGTAACGGACCCGACGCGCTACACTCCGCTTGCCCGCCCAACACATCTGCCCTGGCAGCATCGGGACAGCCAACCAGTGTATATAAGCTCTGCCCCAGCTCAGCTCTCGGCCATCATCGCGTCTGTAAGAAAATGCATAAACTAAGCGGTGCGCAGTCAAATAATTACGTCCATGCGGCAAGATTAGCAGAACTTTATAGGTGTTCCGAAATCAAGCTTTTCTTGAAATAGTTTTTGGTTTAAGTCAGTCCAGATTTCGCAGCGTTAGAATGGCTAGTTGAACACAATAGGTAAAGCTAATCATTCAATAGTTCGTTCCTAATAGCGACGATTGATAGCATAAAATGTGGGAAAATAAAATGGATCAGATTCCACTTGCCCGTGCATCAAAATGACTGGCCCATTAAGAAATGTATGAATGCAAGTCATCATGTAACGGACATTTGTGTCGCGCGCCGTTGGAACCTGGTGACAACTCAGGTATTCTCCACGGCACTTGTTTCAGATGAACCCTTTTTGAGAGGGCGGAGGTCTATGCGCTTTGGCAGCTTACCGGAAGCCCTGGTGCACAGATCTGGTGTGATCTTGTGCATCACCAGGGCGGAGACCCCATTCAGGTCACTCAGGCTCTACAGGCCCTTCCTGCAGACCTGATGTTTCAGGAGCACCCACATATGAATGTTCACATAGGTGCTTGTGGAGGGAGGTAGACCCGGAGAGTAAGCCGACGCGGTTTGCTTTCCATTCCGCTGTTGAGGTCCTCTTTCGGCTGCCTCTCGAAGTGCTCTAGCAAGCCGACATACCGCTCCTTCTTGACCGTGGCCGTAGAGCCGTCTGCACATTGGTAGAATAAAGGCCTAACGAGGCCGCTGGAGCCCTGGCGCATCACGCCATTACCTCTGAGGTGTGCCGTGGGTTATCCAGCACGGTGTCTGGCAGGTCTAAGGGTCAGATCCGGTAGCGTGGGCGTTAACCGTTCAATTCAGGTGGCTATGGGCCCCTCGCTAAACCAGGTGCGGTTCAGACATCCAGGATCTGATCCAGCCTCTGTTTTAAGTGAAGTGGCAAAATTACCCGCTGCAGTTTATTGGCTTGTCAGCTTTTTATGAATGGTCACTTTATATTGATAACGCCTGAGGCTATTTTCCCAAATATACAGTTCGGTTGTGTGACTAGAACCGACCTTCATCTGCTGTTTTTTTTTATTGTTCTTATCTTATTCTCCCATTTAGTCTTTTATGCTGGTTCAGCACTGACCCGTCTCTCAGAAACATATTCCACAGGAGCAAACATAACAACGAGGACGGTCAGGGGTCTGCGACGCGTTTCCAGAACTACATCATTCAAGCGTTGAAACTGTGGCACAACGCGGCGGCGGCAGCGATGGCGGCGGCTACGCTGGTTATTGGAGTGCCATATCCGACGGCTGTTTGGCTTGGATTCGATTCCATCAATTCGGCCAATTTGGCCTCTTTGGCTTCTTTTTCGGAGAGGTGCCCAAATTCAATCTTTCTGAGTTCTGCACAATTCCTTCGTTTATATTTATGCTACTACGCTTTATAACATTTTGAAATGAAATAAGACAAGCAAACAAAACCTTGAATTTTACCGCCGTATGCAAATTTATAACTTTTTCTTTTCAGTTCGCGCTGAGAAGCGCCATAATGTTGTGTGAATCTTGATAAATCAGCCAGATATTCAGAGCAACTGTTATTAAACGAATTACAAAAACTGCGTATTTGCATTTAATAACGCTTCAACATTCACATACAAAATCAGGGCATGTTTTTCTTTCCACACAGTAGTTACAATAGGTTGTTTTGGAACCGTGTGAGCATTTTCCGCGAAACTTACTCCTTCGGGCACTTTGGGGGACTGAACAAATTCCTGTATGTTCCTGGAGAAAAAAAACATGCAATCAAAAGCAATAAACGGTGGTTTCAGCAAGACAGCAGGTACCTCGCACTGGCAAAGGTAGCATAGGTTGGCAAAAGGCAAATCTCAGAGATAGCGTGGTTTGGTTGTTTGGTCGGTACTTTCAATGTTCAGTTGATGACACATTTTTGCGATCTGAGTCCACTGGGTGCACTGCGGGACCAGCCCATCGGGGAAAGGAAGAAAACAAAGGGAGAAACAAAAACAGACAGTTGTTCATCTAACGAAGCAGCCAAGGAGGAAGGAGGGGCAATTTCCGCAACAACCTTCGGGTGATCGGTGAAAAATGTAGGCCAAACAACATCTGCATGAACATCCGAAGGCGAAGAGCGCGCCTAAAACACATGGATAGGCTGGCTGAATGATGCAAAAGATGAAGTGTTTAAACGCGGTATTTATATGTGCAAAGCATGTGTGAAAACATTCATATTTTTGTATATACGAGGATGCCATCCATCGAAGACCGAAACGCATTGCGGTCTTCGCAGTGCCGCTAACACCACTATTAACACACGTCCGGGCAGCCGCTCGAATGTGTGTTAATAGTGGTGTCAGAGCCCTGCCCTCTTTAAGACTTAAATCCCTTTAGTTTTTTAGCTTGACACCCACGAATCAGCGCAAATTGTTTCGGGCAGACTATTTCATGATCACCCAGGGATATCTGACGCCAGTGAAACGCCACGCGAGCATTGTCACCTCATTGGCCATGTAGTGCTCATGATGAAGAAGAAATATTTACATCGAGTTATGCGTGTCTAGTTTAAGTCAGAACGATTTCTGGCATCAGCGGATTTCAGTAGGCTCCCAATTGCTGTAATGTGTTCAGTAAAATCTTCGGACGCGAATGATGTTTTGCACTTTATCATACAGGACTTAAGTCTTTTGGTACAAGTTATGACGAAATGTGACTGAGAATCAAAGAATCTTAGAAAAGCGCTATGACCGAGGATGAGATTGCGTGCAAAGCATACAAAATAACGAACAGATGTGGAAAAGCTCGCGAGAAAGGGCCAAAACACGCGCACACTAGGGCTCTGCAAACAACGCAATGATCAGCACGCCAACTCTCGACAAGTTGAAGTACTTCAATTGAGTCAACCCGTCCATTATGGTGCCTATTTCGCGCAGCGAGTTTGGCAGCCACTCTGACGTCAAACAAAGCTTCCATGACGTAATCAAACTATGACGCACTGAGGAACATAATTACCAAATCGTGAACCGTGTTTTAGGGCAGAGTTTTGCAATTAAAAACATACCAATAGTTGGATGTGTGAACTAATTCCATCATATCTCACGCTTGCCTCAGTATCATCAAAAGAGAAATTTTCCATTTCACTTGCAAAGCTGCCGCAACTTCAACTCATTTCTTACACAAATGATATTGTACTGTATTTTTATCAGTATAGTTCGGTTATTAGAAATTTATCAAACCTACATATGATCTGCCTTGCTTGCGCCTGTTTGTCCGTTCTGCGTAACACCGTCCACGGGCCGCCGTCCACGAACGGATGAAATGTGGACACGACGCGCCCGGCGCGCGAGGCGGTCTCCCATGGGCAGATCGCGGGCAGCTGCGGTCCGGGGTTTGGGTGTGGCACGCGGCGGAAGAACCGCTTCAGGCTCTTGGTTTTGCGCGGGTGAGCCGAAAATGTGAACGACAAAGCGAAACCGTAGCCACATCCCGGGGACCAGGGGTCGGAGCGGCAAGGCACTGACACGTTTAGGTAGGTGATGGAACGGGGAGTCGCGTTGCGCCAGATTTGTAGTAGCACATGGCTCATGCCACGGGCACAAACGCTGCCAAGATGAAGTTGTCCATTTTCCCGTTTTCATGTTTTGCACCATAGCTCGACAGCCAGAGCATCTAGAGATGCTAGTTCAATTTCCAAAGCGTCGGTCGATGCACCGTCTTCAATTCATGTGTGAAACATGATTTGAGCGACGCACGGCTGCTCTGATAACCTCGAACAAGCCGAAAATGTTGGCATTTTGAGAAAAACGGCGCCGAATACAACACACT